TTTATTTTATGTAAGCCGCCCTGAGTCCCCTCAGGGAAAAGGGCGGCCTATAAGCATCAATAAATAAAAAAATAAATAATAATATGAAGGCAGATGGGAACTTGGAATGAATGACAGTAGCCCTTTCAAAGTCAAGTTGCATTCTGAGTTGGGTTGAAAAATGACTGATAATTGGCTCCCAATTTCAAGCCAACATCAGTGTAGCCACAATTTGTGCCACGTTTGGATTCCTCATGTTCTGTGCTCTCTGGGTCTGACTCGGTTGCAATGCAGGCTGCCGGAGTGCTGGACTTGGAAATTCGCCTGGCCTAGCTGAGTCTCACCTGCAATAAGTCCCTGCCAGCCTTGCTGTTGGGGTTTGCAGAGCAAGCCTTCTCCTTCATACTCCAAATGTCTTAGGAACTGTGTCCATCTTCTGAAGGAGTGCTTAAAAGGGCCGGGATGCAAAACCCAGATTCTGGTTCAGGCTCCTGTTATCTGGGACTGAAAGAGCTTCAATTCCAAATGAACCCCCTATCAAAAGAACCTTCCTGCTCTGTTTTCTCTGTTCCAGCATAAAACCAGAAAAATCATTAATAGCAGTATATCTTTCTTCCTTTTTATTTGAAGAAAGTTTTGATATTAAACACCTGATTGTAATCTGTATAATACATTTTTCACTCAAGGGGTCCTTAGTGCTCTCTGAGCTTGGTTGTTTTCCTGAATTTTTCATTTATTTTCAAAATTACCATAATTACCAAAAGGAAGTTGATCCTAAATTTAAGAAGTTCCTCTTCAAACAAAGAAAGAGAAAAACAATTATGTGAATGTATACTTAAAATGGTGTGTAAGAGAATAAAAAAATAAATTTAAAAAAGAAAGAAAGAAAGAAAGAGAAAAACAAAACGTATGAATCCTGTGCAATGTTCAATCGCCCAAACTTGTTAACTAATGGTTGCCAGTTCTGTCTTAAACCAAATTAACTGCCTATAAAAGAAGGCATTTCATATGTAAATTTAATCTACTAATAATATCTACACATAGAGGTTATCATTTCATACACCAACTGCACATTAACTGTTTATTCATTCCCCACTATCCTGTCAGAGCTGAAGAAGCTTCTTGGATGAGAAGCAAAAAGGACCTTTGGGACTAAATGTTTACACACTCAAGCCTACATATGTCTCCTTCCTCCTTCTTGTAGGAATAGAACAGGAAAAAAGAGGAAACGAATAGTGCTCCAAGAAAGGAAGGAAAAAGAAAAGGAGAAATAGAATGAAATGAAGGCGGGGTAGAAGAGAAATTATGTAAAGTTCAAAGATTTTTGAGCTGGACTCAGCAAGCATCAGCCCAATAGCTCTTCCTGCCAGATCCCCATGTTTAGTACTTTTGAGGTCTCGGAGTCCTTTCCTCCTCTTCCAGGAGAAAAGGAGGGCATGCCCTATACGTATTAAGACAAGTCTCTCCTAGGTCAAACCTCCTAGGTAAGCTAGACTGGGAACATGACCAGATAAGACAATTCTACTTTTTGTAAAACTACATTAATAGAATCATGCAAGTCTATCCGTTTCCTTTCTAAGCTTCTTTCTCTGACCACTTGGGACTCCTGCCTTGCTTGTCTGATCATTCCCTCCTTCTCTCTTCCTTCAAGGCCATTCTCACACACCATGATTTCTGCCTCTCTGGAGGGAAGGATGCTGTGAGGACAGAAAAGGTCTTCACTTAAAGAAGTGAGTTTCCATTGAGGCAAATGCGCAACAACTTCCTCTTTTTACACACGGTTATTTTGGAAGGCAGCTCAATTTCTTTTTGTTTAACTAACAGTATCCTTCCAACTTACTATATGGGCCTTCATCTTGAAATGCATTAGAAGCAACATCAGAGCAAAATTTCACTTGCCAAGAAGCGTCCTCAGTTCCTTACCTCGTCTTCTGGGTTCTGTTCCCCATGGCAGAAGAAATAGTAGCGTTGGAAAGCTGGATCTCTGAAGATGCGTTGCTGGCTTCCTCGTGGGTCAGCTCCATAAAAGTGCCATTAGCCACATAAGCCAGCAGCTCATCACTGTCATCATAATCAACATAAAGACCGTCTATTTCAGGCCGAAAGGTGTTGATAGGTTTCACTGGAGAAAAGATACTATTCAGGGTCTTATTCCAGATGGATTCTTTCGAATCTGATCTCTTATCCCCAAAGCTGTGGAGGATTGCATTTTCTGAAAGGATCTCTTGGGAAGGGAGAAGGGAGTCCAGCTTGCTTCCATTTCCTTCCACCTTATAATTGGTTTTAGTTGTGTTTGATTCTGGAATGAAAGTGGGGGGGAATCAAAGGTAACTAAAGTGAACAATTGGGCAAATTCAAAAAATGAAATGGAAAATGTCAGTTCTGCTCAGACTCCCAATGTTCTACTGTGATAATCCAGAAAACCCTTGAGATAAGGATTGTAAATCCAATTTTTATAATTCCATAATGTAGATGGAGACTTCTGAGGCTGAGAGATAATGTTGGGTTCACACACTAAATCCCATAGTTTTGCTGTAAAAATAAAACTTGATAATCTAGAGTTGCTTGGTCCAGAAAACCTGGCATTCTGGACACGGCCCAATTTGACCCAGTAACTTCAATGTGACTCATCCAGATTTGGAAGAAAATTTAACAGCAGAGGGCTCTGTTTCTTACACAATATGGGAACAACACAAACAGCAGAAACTTTTTCATTTAAACTCTTCAGACTGTTTTAAGAGTATAACAAAGCATGCCAAAATTCATAGAAATGCATGCAGGTGAAAAAGGTGTCCATAATTTGCTCCAACGAAGAATGTGATTGTTGTTTGCTATACTATAGTAGCCATTAGGATGGCAAACATGCTTGCTAAATATTGCACCAATAGATTGATGAAATGGGTAAAGGATCAAGGTTGTTATTTTTTTTAACAAGGAATACTGTGTCCCTTTCCTGAACGAGACAGCAAAGATTCTTCTGGAATGGGGTGACATACAAGGAATTTGGAGGGCTGCACAAGCCATGGAGGCCCTGGGCAATGGCCACTTGAGTGTAAGAAAAGAAAAGGCCCAAGGATTCCAGGGAGCTGCCCAGAATATGGGGGAGAAGCGGGGGGGAGACATGGAAGGCAGGAGCCGAAGAATGCACTTTGTTCAAAAGGAAGAGGTCACACGGAAGAGAAGGAAGTATGGTGTTACATATGAAGGAAATGCACTGAGACCAGGAATCTGAGGGTCCAGCCAGAACATCTGGGTAGGAATGGAAGGGAGCAGAACATTATTAGAGCAGAGTTAGAGATTGCCAAACTAGGCAGATGATCTGGAGAAAGTCCTTCTGGATTAATTTCCAAATGTTTGTGGAAGGAAGACACAATAATAACAGACAAATTCAACTACTTGCACATCTGTTGGAAAACCAACTCAGCCAAAATGGCAAGGTCCCAAAATGTTCTTCCGTGGCCTTGGTTGGCTTTATTTTGTAGGAGGCTGATGAAAAACAAGGAGACTGATTCTCCCAAATCTTATTGCAACCCCTGGAAATGCCGTAGGATTTTTGCAAGGAAGCAATTTTTGTGATTTTTTGTGATTTTATTAACATTTGTAGGCCGCCCTTTTCCCTGAGTCCCCTCAGGACTCAGGAAAAAATTCTCTTTTCTTAGGGTCCTAGAGAAAGGAGAACTGCTCATATCTCCCCCCAGGCTCAGAAGATCCAACTTCAACGCCCTTAAAAAAAGTAGTGAGCAGACTCCCAAGGAATGCCAGAACTGTAGAGGCCTGGATG